CTATGTCAAAGACCCTGGCACAGGACACTCTGCCTGAGGGTGACTGTAAGTGTACAGAGATTTCTGCAGTCCAGTGAAACACACATGCATACATATGTATATATATCATGTGGGTGTGTATGTGTATACATACACATAAGAAAACAGACAATGCAGAAGAGCTGATGTTGTGCATTGGCTGCAAAGAGAACGGTCACCTGCTAGGTTACACATATAACAACCCGTTTTGCCATTGCTGTGAGCTCAGTTCTTTTATTTGTATAAGGCAACAGCACTAACCTGATTAATTTATTTTAACTGGAGAACAGTATTAGCCTAAATGGTCCCACTTAAATCCCAGAGAAGCCATGGGCAAGCTCTTCAAACAGCTGCCTGTCCCCGCTCACTCTCCTGCAGATGGTTAACACAGCTGAGCTCAGGGCGCCTGAGCTGCACCTTGGCACAACAGCCCTCCTCTCTTTGCAGGGTTTGTTTTCTGCTCTGAAGGGAAACACCTGCACGTCTCCAGCAAGATCGGATCAGAGCAGAGAAAGCTTTCGGCTTAGAAGTTACAGGCTTCCCTCCCACCAGCCACAACCCAAAGCTGGTGGGAGGACTCGCCGTGGAGCCGGGAGCTCCAACAAACCCAAGGTCCCGAGGGACCTCTACGAAGCTGACCGCACTCGCTAGTTGCTTTGCTCACACCACAGCCTCACAGCAAGCAATGGGGGGAGCATTTACATGAGGTATTTTGGAAGCCACAAAGGTGAAAAGTCCCATGCCAGAGGAAGCAATGGAGTGCACTCCATGAGACACCCTCGGGAGACCACAGCTCTCATTTCTGATGGCTTCCTCAGTGGTCTTCAGAAAGCCTTCCCCCATGCCAGGGTCCAGCATCCAAACAAGACTGATGTCCTTAACCCTCTTTGTAAGGTATTCTGGTAACTACAACGACAAATTACCACAAAGAGCTTAGTGGATACCGTTAACCTGTTTTCCTTCAGCTTCAGAGCTGTTACTGCATCAAGGCTTACCACCCTGTTTCACCACAAAAACTGCCTTGTTTTGTCAGTAGCACAGAGGCCCAGCTTGCAGGGAGAGGTGAGGGGTGGGCACAACCTAATGTGACCCAAACACGTGCTGCAGAGCTCGACTACAGCCCTGAGGGCACCAGGAACAGCGCTATGGCCCAGCTCAGGCAGGCCATGCAGCTGGCTGCGCCCCGTGAAGCACCGTGCCAGCTTTCTGCTGGACTCCAGCACAGAGCACAGCTGATACAACATAAACACACCCCTCTATATGATTATATCCTCACAAACAAGCCTACCGATGAACAGGTGATGAAGCTGTGGTGGCCAGTGAATTCTTGAACTATGTCTAAGGCCTGAGATAAGCACGCAGAATAGGCGGGCTGTTTTGGAAAAAAAAATACCACAGAGAACAATAATCTTATACAGGAGGTAGGAGCAAAGGGCCCAGGGGAGCCACCAAGTGCACCTCACAGCCCATGGAAAACAGGCCAAGGCCAATTAACAACGAGCTGCAGCTGACAGAGAGGGGAGGCTGTGAGATAAGAGGGATGGCACAGAGCCAAGAGAGGACAGGAGCTTGGATGGAGGGGCAGGAATGGCTTCCTGGGAGCAAGCCTATGGAGGGTTGCTCAGGGAAATTAAGCTGGTATCTCTGCGGGGCCTTGAAAAAGGGGCTAGCTCTTCAGGCCTTGTGAGATGTTGGTTAAGATAAATTGCTATGAGCATGAGGGAAGAGACGGGATTTAGTTCAGGGAGATAGATAGCAAAGGAGGGGAATGCAGGTTACAAGTACCTGAGATAGTGGTTTTTGAGCAAGATCCTGAGGAAAGGATGAGCTAGAGCAATGCTGCTGAGGAAAGCAGCACGAGTGCTCTGCCGTGGACAAAGGGACTGCTGAGAAACTCGGGAAAGAGGTACAAGACTTAGCAAGCATAAAATCATGAGCACAAGAGCAGATGTGGAGTTACCCCCCTTTTGCTTGTGGAATGGAGATCTCCAGCAAGGTGATGTTCAATCCCTGTGCAATAGGCAGGTCGCTCAAAAGCCAAAAGGATTTTTATTGGAGGGAGCAGCAGTGAGGGCCAATATTCTGTACCAGGCCCAACTTCAAAGAATGGAAAGAGCATAGATTCAGATTAGATGTAAAGAAAATCTTGACCTATGAGGGCTGTTTGGCACCAGAATGGGTTGCCCAGAGAAGCTGTGGATGCCCCATCCCTGGAGGTGCTCAAGGCCAGGCTGGATAAACTTTGAGCAACGTGGTCTGGTAGAAGGTGTCCCTGCCCATGGTGGGGGGTGGAATTAAGTGTCCTTAAGGTCTCTTCTGTGGTTCTGGTTTATTTAAAAATAAAAATGTTTTAGAAAAGCTCTTGGTGGTATGTTTTTAGAGGCCACCCTCTTGCAGGCGCAGCTTGTGATTTTGGAGTGCCTGGGATTGTCTGTGCTGTGTCACAGCTTGCTCTGCTCCATCACCTCATACACCCCTGCCCATAAGCACCCAGAAGACAGCAGACACACGCGACCCACCAGAGGTGTGAATATAGCAGCTGTTACGCTTTATTTCATTATTTTTATTTTTCCTTCTGATTGAAAAAGAAGAGACAGAGAAAAGTTACAAAAGTACTAAAAGGCAACAATATCGGCAGGACATCCCATTCGCAGCCCTGGACCCCCAGGGAAGGCAGCCTGCAGCACACATGGACCAGCAGAACACAGCTCCAGGGCCGAGCACTGCAGCAGCTCCCATTTCAGCAGTGCTGAGGGAAGCCAGAGAGCAGGGGGCCGTGGGGGCTGCTGCCCCGACTGTCTGCACAGGGAACGTGCCTCTTCAGATGGGTAGCAGGCTGTGGCTGTCCCTTCCCATGAGCATGGGGGTTCGGTTTGAGGTGGTGATGCTTCCCGTCCTGCCCTGGCTAGCTCCATCTGGCAGCAGATAAAAAGCTGAGGTGTGCCATCAAAACAAGATAAGCAGAGGCTCTACAGGAACGGGAGGAATGAGTAGAGGAATGGGCCTGTGTCGGAAGAAGGGACTTTTGCAGGGAACCACAGCACTCTGCCCGAGGCACCTCACCAGCAAACCCTAGCAGTGGCTGAGCTGCGATGGCCTGGGGGCAAGGAGCAGGCAGAGCTGGGGCAGCCTCAGGACAGCCATCCCCTCACTGCCTGGCCCAGCCGCTCTGCCTGGGGAGGGAGGAGGGCAGTGGTGGGGCATTCAGGTCCCCAGGCCTTGGTGGCCTTCAGGCTTTTCCCCAGTTGTCTCAGGGAAGGGCCCAGAAAGTACCATGCATGCTGGTTCGCTCTGCGGCCTCCTACTTGGAGCTAGACTGACCACTGGTCTCATCCAGAGTGCCATCAAAAACCTTCACAGTGGAACAGATTTAAAACTAAAATGGACCTTATATTACTCAGAGTTGCTCCTCTTGATCCAGACAAGTAAATTACTTGCACCCAGCCAGATACAGGCTCAAGGGGAGAATGAGGTTACTCTCTTCACCAGGTGCTGGCAATGAAGACTCATCTGATGCACCAAGAGGAAATGTTTTGTTCCTCTGCCTCACCATGACAGAATGGTGAAGAGCTTCTCCCATTAGCTGCTGCTGCCTCATAGCACAAAGCACCCACATGCCTCAAGGCCAGACCCCAGACAAACTCCAGTGGTAAAAAGGCCAAGCACCATCCTACCTCCTGTAGGAGTGTCCATGGAGAACTGTCCCTCAGCTTCATTCAAAACCCCCTCCTGTTTCTTCCACCAACAGGTGACCACAAAACAAAGACCCCTTCCTCCCACTCCATGCTACATCTGGGAATGCTCGCTCCACTGGTGCAGAAGCGGGGTCTGTCTGAATTTAATAGCCAGCCCATCAGGGGAGGGGAAAACTTGCTGGACACATTTGATTTGGTTGAGTTTGGTGATGCCAGTTGCCTTCAGCATCTCCAAAGGTGCAGCAGAGTACTTGGACAATGGCATGGACAAATGCTGTGTAACACAAAACAGAGACAGAGACCCAAGACCACACAGATCACCCCACCACTTCTCTCCGGTGATACCAAGACTGAAGGTGGGCATTCTTTTCCTGTGGATGGCTGAACATGGACCCTCCATTCTGTAACCTTATCCTAGCCCCCATTTTAGAATTTCCTCACATTTAAATCCTATTTTAGATGTTACTGAGTTGCCAGCAGAACAACTGAAACATGCAACTAGATTTTCCAGGTACCCTGTCCCACATCCCTCTCCTGGAGTCTTCCGCTCAAGAGAGCTTGAGGTGAATGTGATCATAATCTCAGAGAGAGATCTTCTTGCTTTGCAGGAAGCCCTGTACAGCCTGTCTCCGATCCTGAGCTCACTTCTGACTGGGAGAAGGGTCAGGTCTACACCAAAGCATTGTAGACCCAAGTACTCTTGGAAAATTGACTGGACTGGGTGTCACAACCTGATCACTCATCACAGCCGCAACGTGGACCACACTAGCCTCTGAAACCCTCGGGGATATCTTCAACTACCACATCCATGTGCTTGCCTTGGTGGCTGCCCTTGCAGTTTGTGACTGTCTCATTTTGCCCTTGAAAGACAAAATCTCTCCAATTACCAGTATTCAGAAGTGGCAATGGTACAAAAGCAGTCACTGCTGCAAAGCCGTATGTTTCCTGCTGCCAGAGAGACTGTATTGCAAAGGTGTGTCATTGCCCCCTTCTCCCCCCACCCAACCTCCCTGGGCATCACCACGGCCCTTCTCACTGCCCGGCAGGCGGTTGGTTGATAGTTCCTGAGGTTTTCGGAGAAATTCCTTCAGTAGGCACATGACGGTTCTTCCACTGGAGCTATCGGGCTCAGAGGCTTCAAGGTGCTGAGGGAACGGAAGGCAAAGGTGGATGGATCGTACACGAAGTGGGGCGGCGGGCGGCCTCCATTGATGCTCTGCAGGGGAATAAAAAGAGGAATGAAGTCAGTGCTGACAGAAGCTGCAAGCAGTGAAGTTCTTGCTTCAAACTCTTTGTCTTGCCCCCACCTCTCTGCTACAACCATACCTCCTCATGGATTCATGGCACCTGTAGCCATCCAGGTAGATGGAACAGGGTGAGGAAATCAGCGATGAATTTGGAAACCCAGAGTCCCAAAAGCATCACTGCCAGAGTGTATCGTATGGAAGAGGTGAATTCAGGTTCTCTTGTCTTTAAAGCAGGGATATACACTTTCAGAGCAGGGAGATAAACCAGGCCACCTCTGAACCCTCACTCTTCAGTCTTATTTTTTCAACAGGTCTCCAGTAATAATTTACAGATCACTCTTTCTCAATCCATGAAGTCCCAGACACTGAAATGCTCCAGAGCTTTGGCTCTACAGTTTAGGCTTCACCACTGTTTCTTCTCCCATCCCATTTACCACACTTCCCCTTACCTGTTTTTTTTTTTTTTTTTTTTTTTTTTTTTTGTGTGTGTGTGTGTTTTTGTTTTGTTCTTTTTCTGCTTTGATAGACTTTATTTGATGCTTAAATTTTCCCACTTCCCATCCACCTGCATCCTCTCTGCTCTTTCTTTCTCCTGAAATCACTTCACACCCAGAAGCATTTGACTGGCTTTTGGGGTAAGCTCCAGTCTCTTGTGGGCAGACTTGAAATTCAGAAGCTCTAGAGCTCTTTGGACTCCTGTAGAAATCAGCCTAAGGGCCAGATGCTCTGCACGTCTGGAAATCAGGCCTTCCCTGGGTTTTAAGTGTAGGCTAGAAGGTGACACCCAAGCCAACTCTCTGTCTCATGCCAGTTATTGTCCAGGCCTCCTGGGAGGGAATTTCCCTGAATGAGGATTGCTTACGTGTAAAGAAAAAAATAAATGAAGACAGATTCCCAGAACAGTCCTGGCTATGAAATGGATACACATGCAGGACCTACAGAAGCTGACATTACCTGTAAAGCTTTGGGACTGCCTGACCCATGGTTTAACGCATTTCTAAAACAAATCAGTGAGGAATGGCTGGGAAACGCTTGGTGCAAAAAAATCCCACCTGAAGGCTCTGCAGCTTGGTTTGTACCATGGCCTCCAAAGATAACTCTCTCCCCTTCCCCTCCTGGTGTTCAGAGCATGGTCAGAGCTGATCTGAAGTGAGGAGACCAGAAATACCCATGCACCGCGTGACAGGATAGGAATGCTGCTCCCCACTAGACCTTCCTGGGACCCACGGATCCCAGAGGAATAACGATACCAAATTAACCTTTCAACTCCATAACATACGAAGTATTTTCCATTTAGATCTCAGGAACTGTGTTTTTTTCCATAGGCAAGCAGAAGCACCAATGGGGTGACCTCCTTGCAGATGCTCTTTGGCCAGGAGAGGAGGTCCCACCGCTCTCTGGGCCAGCAGAGTACTTACTCATCTCCTGCAGAGCTCATTCCCAACAGACAGGTGCAAGCTGCTGATAAAAAAAAGTTCAGCAGCTCAGAAGCTCATGGAAATGCCCCACCACTCATCTCACTCCCATCACTGCTGGAAAGTGTCACTTGTTTTCATGGAGAGTGGAAAAGGTCCAGCAAGAGGAGAGCTGGCTTGGGCGTTACAGCCTCCCTGTTGCCTTTTCCACTCCCTTTCTAGCAAGATCCACAGCATCTCCTCACCCAGCTTGCACTAAGGGGCTGTTTCTCAAATAATTAGGCTTTTTAGGAGCAATCACCAACTCTGCTGTTTTCTCTAAGACAGAGGCACTTCCAAGTCAGGTCTTTCAGACAGCTGCAACCACGTATCAGCACGGCGCACTGATGTTTGGGTACCACCTGCCTCTGTCCTGGATGGGTTTTCACTTGTCATCATAGGACAGCTGCACACAGCTTTTCCTGGATAGCTGCCCAAACAGTCCAGCTCACCCAAACACTCACACCAGAAGAAAGCTTCCAAGCCTGGCCTTGTGTGTAGGAGGATCTGGGAGCCTCTACAGCCAGGATTTTGGTCACAGCTCAGCCCCAGGGGGCAGTCTTCGTGTCAGAAAGGGCTTCTAAAAAGCCAGCATGGGCAGCGTGTTCCTGCCTGGTTGGTCCCTCCTCTGCAAATTGAGATGGGCGTTTGAGAATGGAAAATGCCAACATGGTGCTTGGCATCAGCCGTGCCCGGCGTTTCAGCCAGCAAATCATGCCCTGCTACAGCCCCCTGACACCTTGGCCAGCAGCATAAGAAACAAGAGAGGCAGATTTAAGGGCCTTTCCTCAATAGCCACCTGCTGTGGGGTTATATATGGTGTGTGCTCTGGCAAGCCCCAGAGCTGTGGGGTAACGTAGCAACCCCTATTCAAAGCTAAGGGGCAGAATAAATCAGCACATTTGTCCTTCTGCAGAGCAGAGAAGGTCCCCTGCCAGTGCCAAGAGGGAGCGGGAACAAAGATCCTGGCAGTCCCCTCCATTTTGAAATGCCAGACGGGATTAGGGAAGGCAGCTGAAATCAGTTCATTTCTGGCGGACGGCAGATGGAAGAGAGGCTGGGGAGAGACGGCTCCAGAGAACAGACGAAAATCGTCCACGGACCTCACCAGGCTCAGGGCAGGAAGGAGCCGTGGGGCTGCAATCTGGGCCTTCTGGGGGCAAAAAGCCTCCCCAGGGCACCGTGAGGAACCTGCTCCATTAGTGATGACAGGGCACGTCCTCTGCTAGGGACCTTGCTGGAGGAAAGAGCACCAGCACGAAACGGCCCCAGGACTGCGTGTTTTCTCTGGAGCTCGTATCCTGCTCTAGGGATGACCAGGCCTGATCTGGCTTAGCCCACGACACCATTTGGGATCACAGCATGTGGTGGTCTGGCCACGTTGAGCAGTGCGAGGCAAAGCCCTGTAGGTCTGTTCCCAGAACGAGGAGAGAGATGGGGCCAGCTGCCAGAGCGGGGAACACGTCCCTCCCGTCCTGCTGCTTGGGCCAGCTGCCTCCCAGCCAGCCTGCCCTTCCCCTTGGGCGCCCAGCACCAGCCTGTGACACCGGGGATGTCATTTCTTCTCCAGAAGGCAGTTTGAGTCGCCCCTGCTGCAGCAGGCCCCGGGGAGCGTGCCACAGCCCTGCCTGACAGCCCCTGCTGAGCAAGCCCAGGCCGGCTCCTGCGGAGGCTCCTCAACACTGCAGCCGGCTGCCTTCACTCCGATGGCATCCAGGCAGCCGGGCAGCTGGCACCAAACGGAGCCTAATATGGGCCCCGCGCTAACAGCAATCATTAACCAGAGCCCTCCGTTTGTTAAGCAATGTATTTACACAGCTGGAGAACAGCCCGAGATACAGCCACGCGGCTGCCGGCAGGAAGGCACCCGTGCCTGGGTGCCCCCTGTCACACACACGGCCCTGTGTGCATGCTCACCTGCTCTCACACACCTTGTTTCACCCCTGGTACACCTGCAACTCTTCCTTACTCCTCCTGGCATGCACCCACTTCTTCCTGACTCAAAACTACAAAGCAGCTGTGCCCCCTCACGTGGACCTTGTCCGCCCGCACCTCAAGGAGGGCCCTCAACTTACAAACCTGTACTGTAGCGACCAACTGTGCTACCACCGTTAAATACAGCTGGTAAACCAGCAACCCGGCTTGAAACATCTCAAACATATCAATATAAAGCACAGCTAGAGATGGTATGGACTGTGACTGGATGCAGGTGCCCCGGAGAAGGGTGAGAGTAGACAGCACAGAAGGGATGCAGGACTTCAGTCCTATTAGCAGCCCTCAGAAAGCCAAAGACATGGGCAACTGCTGCATAAACCACCCGGGACATAACTTTACGTTCTGGCAAGGAAGAATTACATAGGAAGAAGATAAACAGGTGAAGGGTAAATTACTAACACAAAAGCCCACTGCTCCTAGAAACCCCTCCCTTGCCCCTATGAAGTCTGGGAAAATATCCAAAACGCGGATTGTGAAATAACTTCATTTTGGACTCATAATTCACAGAAACGCCGGTTCGCTTCTCTGGACGAAGCAAAGGCAAGCGTGGCTCCAAGCGCACTTTCAGATGTGGGAATTACAATCCCCAAAGGAAGGGGAAAAATGAAGTTACCTAACACAACAATGTCCTAGAAGGGAGTGGTGTGCTAGGGGTAATACGAAACACAGATCTGCTTAATACTCTTTGCTGTCTTTCATAAGAGCTCCAGGATCCTGGCAGGACTTGAGATCGGAGCAGCGTGTGTGCTCTGCCAACCCGTTCCCTACTCAGGGCCAAGCCAGCACAGGAGTCCCTTCTCTGCTTCCTGTCTTCCAGCGGTGGACGCCTCTCAGCAGTGGGTGAACGATCCCATTGCAGCCCGTAGATTCACTTGTTAAGAAGTCCTTTGGGATGAAAGGCAGCATGTAATTGCGAGTTGTAAAGGCGCATCCGATTCCCACCACCACCCCGTGTGGAAAGGAATAAATCCCCAGAGGAGCCTTGGCAAAGACAGGCGCCTGCCCGCGATGCTGCCCGGCTGGGGCACAGCCGCCCTGCTAACAGCTGAACAAGTCACGGCGGAGCCCTGAGAGGTGCAGTGCTTTTAATTCCACCTCATCCTCCTGCCTTTCACTCACGCCACGTTGTTAGGAGAAAAAATGGTGACACCGCAGCTTTGATGTGTGAAACCAGCAGCTGCAAGCAGGGGATGGGGACCCCTGAGCCATGTCTCTAATCCTGGACATGGTCCCAAGCAGCGGCTTCTCATCACCTGTGCCGCAGTTTCTCCTGTATAAAGCAGGAGTACAACACGTAAACCACACTCAGGCAGCCAGGATGAATAACATCTCTGTGCTTTGCAACCTCCTGATGAGAAATAATTTCCTTTCAGTGACAGTCTGGCTTCTGGCACTTTTCAGGACAGTCGTTGACGAGCAGGACCAGCTCCTCCCGTGGAACAGCAATTCACATCTAGCTGCTTCTTCGTTAACTCCTGTAGGCCTCTGACAATTTATTCCAGTCACAAACCTGGAACAGCTCAAGAAATAACTTTCCAAAGGCAAGCCCCTTCCCTCTCAAAGGTCTCTCCATCACCACCACGTCCACATGCGGTTTAACTTCAGGGAACAGCCAGATGGACCGTGACAGTTTAGGACCACTCTTCTCCTTTTTCTTCTAAGAAAAACATCAACTCCAGCTGCTGTCCTAATGAGGAAGAGCAAAACTTTGCAGTTAGCCCTGTTTTATTCTTTTCTCCATGAGCCTTCCCTACAAGGCCTGTCACCTCCACCAGCGCGAGGCTGCCTGACACCTACTTCCTTCTGCGCAACCACGCCGCAGAGACCAGCTCAGCAGTTTACAAACACCTCGCTGTTCCTCTTCAAGGGAAGGGGGAAAAAAAAATCCATCCAACATTTGCAAATGTGTGCACAGAGTTGTCAGATGGCAACTACCAGACTTCGAGAGGTGCCACCAGGCAGACAACACTGAACTTTTCTGGGAGGCACTTCAAAGGGCTGGGCAAACGCTTGCTGGTCACTTGCCCAAGAGCAGGAACGGGCCAGCTCCAGCTCCAGGCCCTTGCTGGCACCGGTGTAACAAGCCTTTCTTCTCCTCCCTCACACATCTTTGAGACGTGTCTTTGAGAAAGCTGCCTGCAAGCTTTGACTTTGCCTGCCTGACAACCTGAAGGATGGAGGGTGTGTGATGAAAAGGCACAGACGGGTCATTCAGAGGGTTTTTCAGTTTGGGACCTCACCACCCCAAGGTCCCAGTGAAGATTCCAGTCTGAAGGCCACACAAATCCCTTAGGTACAAGTGAACGAACCCCCAGTTTCCCCTCTCTTCCCGGTGGGGCAGGAGCATCCTCCCTGCCTCTAGAGCAACCGCAGCAGCCTGCCCTCATCATCCTCCTCATTTCAGGCCAGGAGCCCCAGGCATGGTTCCTCTCTCGAGGCCAGCACATGGTGCCTACCTGAGCACGTGCTGCTCCCCATGTGAGCCTGGGGACATCCTCTTCCCTGCGGCCAGGCAGGCTGGCACAGAGCAGAGCTCTGCTTTGAACTTAAAGGGAGCCCAAATTAACGCTGCAAAGTGAGTATTAATTATCCTGGCACGAGCAGGCTGCGAACACATGCCGCCGCAGCGCGCTTGCCTCTGGACAAACCGCTCCAGCCGTGGAAGCCAAGCGCAGGAAGCGGGCGTATTATGGAAGAGGTGTGTGGGAAAGGATTGCAGCGCTGGGGACCGGGATCGGGAATGGGTGCCAGGTTCCCACAGCCATGAGAACAAAGGGGAGCAGCGGGCCTGGATGCAGCGGTGAAAGACGTGCCCAAGCGACCATCCTGGGCATGAAGCTCCGCCAGAAAAAGGAGAGGCAGGGCCACTGCGACCCTCTGTGACCCCAACGCCTCCAAACCCAGCTCTTTCAACCCCACAACCCATTTCCTGGCCACGTTCCCTAGCCCCTGAACCACAGCACTAGCCACCACAGACACATGGGGCTGCCCCAAGAGCAGCGTGTCTCCAGGCTGCACCTCCGTCCTCACCTCCTTTCCACCTTCCCCCTGTGCCTGCTCCTAAACCAGACCCACCCAAGCCAAGGGCTGAGCTGAAATCAGGATCTCAGCATCCTAATTCACCAGCCACTCGCTACTTTCCCAGTGCTGTGTGGATTGCACAGCTCTGGGTTATTCCACAGCATCTCCTCTGCAAGCACTTACATGATTTAACGGGTGCAAGAGCATCCATGGCAGGAATTTATGAAAAGCAGGCAGCAATAAACATTCTTTTCTTTAATGGAGCAAAGGAAAGAGACGTGAAAGTCCCTCCTCAAGCTGCTACGGACAGGCTGGAGGCTGGTTAGCCTTTGCTATGAGACCCAATAAAGGCAGTGCTAAATAAAACAGTGTCTGGAGCCAGATATTTGGGTTAGTTTTTAAACAGACGGAGGCATCCCATCCTTCCCCACACTGAGAAAACTCTGGACAAAGTCTTTTTGTCAGGAAGCATTCACATCATGGCCTGGGGTTCTCCAGGGCTTGCCATCGCTGCACAGAGATCTTCAGCAGGCAGCTGGGTGGCTTGGCTGGAAGGAGCACAGGGGGAGCTGATTTCACCAACTGGCCAGAGGACATTCATGCCCTCGGTTAGCAGAGGATCTTCTCCACTTTGCTCAGCAGAGATGAGCGATCTTTTTTTTGTCTCCAACAGGAGACAAAAGCCTGCCTAGGTAACTGGAGTGCTAAAATCCCCACGAGGGGACAGAGCCCAGCACATAAGCCAAGGATGCGACTCAGAAGGTGAGTCCTTCTGCTTCTAAAGGGCAGGTTCTCGGTTCGGCACTCAGTCACATACTGAACACAACCAGGAGGGTTGGACAAACTGACAGGAAGCTGCAGTTTGGGATCTCTGCTCCCTGAGATATCGGAAGTGTTCAGACTGCATGATACAGTATGGAGAAGGACAGAGCTCCAGGAATGGGGGTTGAAGATCAAAGCTGAAACCTCAGCCTTCCTCACACCCTCTTAAAACAAGTCACAATCTTTGCTGGTTTCTCAGTTTAACCCACTCTGAAATTGCAATCATGATATTTATCTGCCTCTGGGATGCTACATTTAGCCATGCTTGCGAAGCACCTTGGGAGCCTGCAATGGAAGGGGCAATATACATGTATGTATGGCTAAACACACACAAAGGGTCTTCTGACCTCTTGTGAAACCTTTACTGCTTCCTGTGCAGCCCGAACCAGAGGTCTGCACCAATATTACTGTCACCTAGCACGCCTTGCATCTGTGAACAGCTCAGCCAAAACAACTCAGGCCAGCGTATCTCCTGCTCAGCTCCAAGCTGAAAAGGTCCCTTGTTTCAGGGGAAGAAAACCCAGCATGTTTCTGCAGTGGTCTTTTAGGATACAGATGTGAGAGATAAGAGATGGGGAAGTCATTCCAGGGATCTGGCCCATGTCCAAGCCGAGGGTGTTCTCAAGCACCAATATGATCAAGGCAAGAGCACAGGAGTTTTATGTTCCGATTTAAAATTATTTTTTATTTTTTTTTTACATAGCAGAAAACACCTCTCTGATTGGGCAGGTTATCAGATTGGCCTTGAAATCCTTACTCTTTCTGCATGCCCCAACAAGAGCTCTCAAGACACCCAGGGGCTCGCTAGCTGTGTCTTCTACCCACTTAGTGCTCCTGAGATAAGCCCAGCTCCTGCTCCTGAGATAAGCTCCATCAGTCACATTTAGAGGCTGCACGCAGGAGTTCGTGAAGGAGGAACAAGATAAGTGACCGAATTGCAACCCTCACCCCAAGAGGCTCTGGACAACTGAAGTCTTGGGGTATTATGGACAGACTCTGGAATTACGGATAGGTTATGGAGGCCAACCCCTCACCTTGCACTGGGGCATGCTGTGCTACGTGCACCCGTTCTGCACAGATCCATACTTCATACGCACGCTGTCACCTCTGATTTGTCTCTGTGTGCCTGCCCACAGGGCCTCGTTCTCCTGATCCATTATCCTTCACTGGGGGCAGGCAGGCAGAGGGACAGGAGGGAGATTTCTTTTAACACTATTTTTTCCTCACTTACAGGCCCTGCCCTCTCAAAGCTGTTATTCCCCCAAAACGTTTCAAACATGACCGAGCTGCCGCACATTTGGGAGGTTTATTAATCTGTCTGAATCCCTCTAGGTTCAGAGACTTGTCACATCGCTGCCTCATCATCCCATGTGAGAAGAAGAACCGCTGAGCGAGTGGAAAGGCTGCAGCCTAACACCATCTGAGCTGGCCCCCAGGAAGCTTAAGCACAGGGGACAATGACAAGGTGGCATCTTAGTGTTCAAACAGTACATGGAAAAGCAAAGGCCAGCCTGGGCCACCTGCTCCAGAAAGGCTCTCTAGGAGCAAAATCATTTCCAAGGGCTGAAACAGTGTTCCAGTGCCCAAGGGCTCTTCCATCTGACATTCATCTGGGAGGCTCTTCCAGCAGAAGAGGGAAGAACAGCATGGCTGGGATGATGCAGGAGAGAGCATCACCTTGGGTCCGGACACGCCAGCAAAGCCCCAAGACATCAAGGCAATAAAAATACCAGTCAGGAGAGGGGTATTTTTAAAAGTGTGTGTTATCTCACAACCACAGGAGACACTGTCCTCACCAAGAATAGCATGAAAACACTTCACTGACATTACTGCGCTAAGCATGTCTGCTGGCTGGCAGGTCACTGCCACCATCACCCTCACACTGGAGGGAAAAACAAGGCATGCGGGGTACATACATAATCCTTTCTTCCCTCCTTCTTCAGCAGCAGAACCATGGGAAGAAAGCAAGGATCTCCGATTCACAGCCCTCGCAAAAATGCCTTAGGCAGCACTGCTTCTCTGCCTGCCCTTCAGATTGGTTTATTCGCTGCATCTCCACAGTTCTACTCTGTCTGGAGGTCACTGCCCATCTCAGATCAGTGAGAGGCTGGATGCTCTTCACCTGTACTGAAACAAGAGCACTTGTACATCAGGGCTTCCCTGGGCTACACAACACAAGCAGGCCTCTCACCTGGCCTCCCACTACCATCCTCTGCAAGAGGCCACAGTCAAGAGGGCCTCAGAAGAACCCTCCCAAGTGTACCAAGGTCCCTGGTGTGCTCGCAGTTTCTGAGTTTCAGAGTGCTGGGCAAAAAGCCAGAAATCACAGAATGGCTGAGGTTGGCAGGTGCCCGTGGAGCAGGCTCTAGTCCAAAGCTCCTGCAAAGAGCAAGGTCGGCTGCAGGATGTTGCCCAAGCCTCTGCCCAGGCATGTTCTGAGTATCTCCAAGGACAGAGACTCCACAAGTTCTCCAGGCAACCTGAATTTCCTGTGTTTCAGTTTGTGCCCATTACCCCTTGTCCTGTCCCGGGGCACCACTGTGAAGGAAAGCCATGCCAAGCCTGGATTGAGGTTTCCCTTTGTGTGCGAGCACAGCATCACCCTTCAGAGGTACCGACCTCCCTCAGCTGCTTCCAGAGCTGAGGCACGATACTCAGCCAGGGGCCTGCTGCCTCCTCTCTGAGCTGCGTACACAAAAGTTCCCACAATCGCCTGAAAAATGGAAGCACAAAACGCTCCTCTACCTCTGCCACCAGGCCAGAGGCTGACATACCACACGCTGTCGGCATGGAAACTGCACGAGCGCCTCAGGTAGCGCTGTCCCAGCTGGGCAGGGCTGGCCAGAGACCCGCGGACACCGTGCCATCTGTCAGAAAGGTGTCCCCTCCGTTCCTGCTGTTTATTTTAGCGTGAGCTGAGGCGAGCTCAGCAGGGAGCTAAGGGATAATTCTGTCTCTCAGCTTCTCCAGGGGTTCTTAAAGCCGCAGTAATGAGCTTGGGCCCTGGGGAACCACCCCGCCACGGTGCCCCAGTCCAGGGACACCCAAGCAGAACCAAAAAAGAAAAAGGAAAGCACATGGGGCAGGGGTAAGAAGAATGCGATAAACACATCAGACTAGAACGGGATTAGACTGCTGATAGGTCTGAAGGACAGGCACCGTCTGGGGAATGCTCACAGGGGAGACAGCTCCACTGAAAACAACGGAGGCAGGAGCACAAGACGATACAGAACAGGTCAGGATTTGTGGTGCAGTCAGAAGGATCAGGTCACGGTGGGGGCTGCTTCAAGTCAGGACAATGGTAGAAGGTACACGAGGAGTCCAGGACACACCATCCAGCTCTGCTCCTGCTCTAGCCAGCCCCACCTGCTCTTCCACCTCTCAAATCACAAAGGATATCTGTTTTCTTCCCCCTGAGCTGGTTTTGCCTGCATATCACAAATATGTGGAGGATCATGAGGGGCTCAGGAGACTGAGGCACTTGTTTTGGCTGCAATGCGCAAGGTCATACACGCTTCTCCTGCAGTGCCATACAGTGTTGACTGAAAGATATCCAAGGTACCCACACAGGAGATGGGGTGGTTGAAAAGTCAGGGGTGGGGTGCTAGACATGAAGACTCGGAGGTGCAGACAGCACAAAGTACAAGCAGGAGAGTGGGAACAAACCTAGACCAGCTACATGCATGTGCAGTCAAGAATGCAAGATGCTCAGACACTGCACTGCCACCCCAGCTGCAAAGCCATCCAAGCAATCTAGCACTCTCATCACCCAGTCCTACATCCCATACTGCTCTGCAGACACCAGTGCAGTACACTGCCGCAGTCCCTGACCAGAGCTGTCTACCACCAATGACACTCACTCCTGCCAAACACCACTTACTACCCCAGATCAGCACATTTGGTCAAGAAGGATCCAAACAACACCCTACAGGACAGCAATGCATAGCAACATGAGTTCATCACAGGAGATGTAGAGTTTTGCTCCAAGGAAGCTTTGAACCCATGGCCTCCAAAATAGAAAATGCCTCTGCATGATTAGCTTCATCAGCACTCAACCTGAATTGCTACTAGAGTCTATTTACTCCAGATCAGCAACTTCTGTTATGCAGCTGATCAAGCCAAAGGAAACCTCCAGAAATAATCTTGCAGGTGTAGATGTTTGATGACAATCACCACATTCAGATATTTGTGGAAAGATGAAGGAAGTGCACCAGTAAAGGGCAACTTACACGAATTTTAATTACTCTAGTCTTCGTTCCACAATTCTTCTTGAGCAGCATCTTCTGAAAAAGAATTAGAATCCAGGGATTAGTAGCAGAAACATGAGGGAACAGAAAGAGTGAGATTGTAGGGAGTCTCTTTTCATCAATATTTAATTATCGAACAAGATGGATGGATGGATGGTTAAGTGAGATATGAAAGACAGGACTAAGAAATACCAGAAGTGGCCATCAAACAATCAGCCGAATCTGAGATTCTTTCACCCAGCCTAGACAGTGGCTGACACCCCAGATTTCAAAAGGAAGTACAAGGAATGCCAAAGAGGAGGAAATGAAACAACTGCCTGAAAGGAATTTTCTTCTTAACTTCTGTCAATTGGTGGTTAGACTCTGCCCTGAAGCAGGTGAATTCATCTTCCTTTTATGAAGAAAAAAATAGCCTATTTAATGCAAGTGTGGATGTTCCCATTATTCAAGTTACTTTCGTTATGTTTATTTCAAATTACAAAAGAAGTAAAAAGCACCTGCCCACAGCCCTAAAACCCTTTGCTATAAACTGTAAGAACCATTAAAGTCATCATAACATATGAACCACACCATTCAGCCACCAGGACGTACTTGAAACAGTAATTACTTCAGTGTAACTACAGGAATACATGTGTGAGTTGCAGCTCTATCCCAGTTCTGAGGCAGCACTCTGAAAGTTGGCAAGTGAATAAAATCATTCTTTCCCCTCAAAAAACAAATCCCAAAAAACACTCAAAGTGGAAAAACAAGGCTTGAAGAGAAAACACATTCTCCATTAAAAGTACCTCATTTTTTACACTGAAAACCTTGGTGAGGGGGACACGACAGGAAGAAATGTCTCCAGCAGTTTTTGAAAGAAATAATAGATTTTCCTAGCTCCTGACTGTTTTCTACACTTTCCACTTGGAAAGCTGTGTAAAGGGTGGGAAAACACTTCTCCCTCCACACACATACGCTTTAACAAAGCAACTGAAGTGTTTTTCAGATGACATTCTTATGACAGAAGACCTGTGGAAAAACGTCCCACTACCCTCCTAACATGGACAGTAAATAGCGAGATCTTCCTATTTCCTTGCTTCTTTTGTTTGTAGTCTTCCTGCTTTTTCCAATAAAATGACAAGATAAAAGCAAGAATAAAAGACTCGCAACACTTTTAAAAATAATACACTTATAGCATCCCCCCCCCCAAAAAAAAACAAAACAACAAACAACTGAAGACAGTGCTCAGGTGAAATATATTATTTTTTTTCCAGTAGAATGTACTTGCGCAGTGGGAATCCCACTCCTCCAACAGCTTCTGTCATTCTGTGCTCCACAAACGCATTTTTACAGTGTTAATCCACACAGCCACCCAAAATTTGGAAAGGGGACTGGAAACCCACACACTCTCTCTATATGCACTAGCCTCTCTGATCCAAAATCCATCCCTCAGCACACTTACAGCATGCACGTGTGTCTGGAAAAAAGACAGACACTGCAGCACATCTTGAAACTTGTAAATGGGTACTTTGGGGTCTGAGAAAAATGCAATTCATTGTCCAAGCACGCATGGGGATGAAGAGAGGTGCTGTAAGGATTGTGAGATTTTTCTTTTAATCCTTCTGCAGGTGAAACCCAACGCTGCCTTTTGTTATTCATCAAGGGACTCAATCGTGGCCACAGCTGATGCCTCTACCCCTAGGTCTGTGCTGCCCTGTCAGCACAGCCCCAAGGCGTCTTACCTGAAAGGACACCACCAGGTCTTTGCACAAACCAGACAGGAGGAGACACAGGGAACTGCTGGGCTGAACTGACCCAAGCCTGTGCTGTCCAGCTGAGCAAGTAATTCTCTGAGAAGTCCTATAAAAATGCAGGGCTCCTTTCCCAGCCATGCTGCAAGGCAGTTACTGGGAGGCTGGTATTTACCAGGAGGTTACTGCCTTTTTAAAGTCCCCCTGCAACCACTCAGTGAGAAGACCGAGGAGCACGAAGAATCTGGTGGGGCTGACAAACTACAGGGTGCTGGGAAGAGTAATATGAGGAGTTGTGAGGTCTTGCAAAATTTTAGTCTCTCTGTAAGCTTTTCTTCTAAACTGGCTGAACCCCTACAGATGGAGGAGCAAGGCTGTGACACTGCATGCCACAAGGCCTCAGCAGCACCACAGGATCCCCTGCCCAAAGGGGAGAAGCACACACCTCCCAGTCCAACCCCCACCACAGTCCCATCCACAGATCCCCTGAGGACTCCATCAGGGTGCCACAAAGCAGTTTCCCAACTACAAATTAGCGGAGGCAGCAAGACCTTCAGTGTGTGCACCCTGGCCTCTTATTAAGACAAATAAGGAGCAACAACAGAGACAGCAATTACAGCTGTGCAGCTACCTTTAGAGAAGATGACAAAGGCTGACTGAAAAGTTTGAAGTAGCCGTGGGTGGATGACAAGCTGCCAGACTCCACCAGGAGGAACTCAAGTGCTTGGCTGTATCCTAAGATCTCTATGCTTCTGGCAGAAAACGGAGGTGCCCTTTTTGCTGATGCTGTCATGAGGAGCTTTAATCACATAAGGATCTTAATGCTATTTGCCACAGCTCAAAGAGGCTGCATTGTGTAGCAGGAGCACAATATCCTACCTAACAATTTGCATTAGTTAATCGTGATCTCTGGTGTGCCTCCTGACGGACTCGGGAATAAAATCAAAACGTGACATCCCTGTGGTTGCAGGCTGTAAAAGCAGAGCACAAGGCTCAGCAGAGGAGGCCCTCTGGAATAGATGGGTTTCCCTGCATCCCCTAAGACTGGAAGCACAAGACCACTTGTGCTGCACTCTTCCAGCATCACTGCAAAGGTCCAAGAGTGTCAGAAGAGAGACAACAGTGGGAGGAACAGAAGGGAAAGAGAACAAGCGAGCTACATGATCCTGTGGCTGAGAATGAATAAATAGGCGGCCAGGTATTGAATGTTATTTTATCTAAACAAATTGCTTCCACCTCTTGCAGCCACACGCGCTCTGCACCCAGCATAGCAAAGCCATGCTTTACAGACAGTAAGCTAAGCATCTTCACAGAGTTTTCCATCCCTTGGATTCCCCTTTTCTCTCCAAACCTGAGCGCAGCCTTTTGGATAAGGAAACAGCAACGCTGTGGAGCCTAGCAACAGCTGGGAACTTTCCAGGGCAGCCTCTCCTCATCCTCCCTCTGGAGGCCTCCACGTGACAAGCCAGCCACGAGATGCAGCAACTCGTTAACTCCTATTTGCATAGATGCAGGCAGAGATGAAGTAACATCAATTTGGCTACGTGACTCGCAGTAGCCTAAAGCCAGGAGTGACCAGCCTGTAACAAAGGTGACGCATTCAGTTCAGTAGCCCTGGGATTATTCCTAACTACCAGTCCAATCTGGAAACGTAGTTTTATTTCCTCGTGTTATTTTTCAAGAGCTAAGGCAAGAAGAACAGAGATTTACTGAAGGTCAGGGAGAATATTAGTAGCAGAGCTCAGAATGAACAGAAGGGTTTGGTTTCTGAGTCTTTCTTCCACCTGCAGAAAGGGAAATGGAAGGAAGAGAGGCAGCGCCTGTGCTCAGCCTCCCTATTTCAATTAAAAAGTCCCTCCCGCTGGTCTCAAACAGAACTGTTGGCATCAGAGCTGAGACCTACAACTTGGAAGCACTGGTATTTACATGATGGAAAGTTTATTTTACAATCTGCTGTGGCTTCTACTTAAAAGGAGGAAATGACATGACTAAGGAAATGTGGAAAGTCTTTTTGAGGGCACACAAGTTATGCCTCACTCTAAAATTGGAACGTTTTAGGGTTAAACTCCCAGAAAACAGCAAAATCAGTTCAAGCTAAGAACCCTCCCACCAATCCCACCTCCTGTTACACAAATGCTCTCTGCTCACAAACCAGTGACTCCCTCCCTCTTGATAAAGTTGCAGGGATTGGAAGTGATCATTTAGAGGCTTGCACATTTACCGAGTAACACACTAAGGAACTCCTGAACTGGTACGTGTAGCTTTGCGGCACAACCCTGCCCCATCAAAATACCACTGACAGCAGAGATGAAACACCACCCCTGCCCCTTCTCAGAGCAAAGCCCTCTTATTCAGCCTCACTTCGGGAGAAATCCCCAATTAGGCAGTAGTGCTTCAAGTCCTCTAACACCGATTTGAGCAGTTCTGAACCTAACCCAGACAGTAAGTGCTGCATGCCTGTATTTGCTTACAGACAAGTTACTGTGTCATCAGGAGGACTGTAATATATATTAACAGACAAAATACAGGTATTCTTAAGGCAAGGTCATTCTAGGAATAGCATAACTCTCAAGAAGGATGAATTCATATCACACTACTGGGGTTCAAAAGTAAATATTTAAAACTCTGACAATGAACAGTTCAAAGGCAGGCATCACAGCTTAATTTTCAAATATTTAAGAGTTTGGACAATCTCTGTACAGTGCAAAGGATCAGCTTGTATATTAATAAACACCCTTCATCTTACATCTGCTTTTTATATGCGTGTTTCTGTTTTTATAATGGTTTCATTTTCACCACCTCCACAGGACAACAAAACAGTTCTATTGCCTGCTGTTTTATTATTATTATTAATTTAACCTTATCATCTGGTTGTAGTTTTAAACCTAAGGACCTGTATACAGTTGGATGCAGCTTAAATATTAATAATTTTCACAAACAATTTTAATTGATTTGGTGCAAGAGCACATAGGAACTTTCAGTTCAATTTAACCTATTTAATTTACATTAAATCTGCACACTTCATTTTGAGTCACCATCCCTGGTGGTCTTCAAGATACACGTAAATTTAGAACTTAGTAGCAGGGCTTAGTTGTGGACTCCAGTGCTAAGTTAAAGGTTGGACTAGATGATCTTAGAGGTCTTTCCCAACCTGACTGATTCTATGAAATGCTACATAATGATATACAACTTCCTTGTTCCAACTTAAGGATTTTGAAGACATTTTCACTTGTTTAATGAAAAAGATTTCAAAATAATAATAATGAAATAAGCCTGTGTTCATTAGATGTGCTGTAACTTTACTCAAAACCCAGTTTTCAGAAGAACATCCAGCAGGACAACCACTGTGCTTTTCTTCGGTTTTGCTGAGGACCATCCACAGAAGAGCTGGTATGCTTTGACTGAAGGCACGGATGTCTGACACTCATTGGCATTTTAAAGCTCTTGGCAGCACAAAGTTTTAAGCAGACTAAATCAAAAAAAAAAAGTCTCAGTTCTCTAACTTGCTCTGCTTCCATGCTGTTAACACTACCTGCCAGCTTCCCAGCTGTCCCCAGTCTTCCAGGAAAAACAAGGCAGTCAAAACTTGAGTGTCTATCACAAAAAATAAACATAGATGATGTGGCTTCATTTGAAAAAAAGAACCGAAAGAGGAAGCTCTACAAAGCACCAGGAAACATTACAACGTAAAGAGAAATTGCACTCCTTAGGGCACAGCAGAAGGCTGAGGTGAAGGAACACGGAAAGCAAAAAACCATGCCCCGTGATGCAATGTCCATAAAGACAAAACCCAACAGAAACCCACTGAACCACCTGCCTGCCGTGGCTGAGGCAGGGGGAGCATGCAGAGGGGTAAGGCACAGGGGGCTGAGGAGGCAAGGCCCTGCACAAAATGGCGGCTGCGCAGCACCCCTGCTCCAGTCCCACTTCCAGCCAACCCAGAGGGTCACAGAGGCAGGAGGCCCCTGAATTAAAGGAAAGGCATGGGCTAGGAGCAAGCAAAAGACTTTTTAACTTATTTTACAGGCTGATGATGGATTTCTTATTTAAATTCCTTGGGACCGAGCAGTGCTGCTAGGAGATGAGCATCACCCAACATGTCCGTACACCCAGTCCCTGCAGCAGGGCAGCATCAGGAGGCTCCATTTCAGCCACAGCCTTAAATCACAAGTATGTCAGAAGCCAGATGCTGCTCCACCAGAAGCTTCAGTGCTTCACAGCACTCTAAACTGCAAGCTATTTCAAGTGGTTTGGCCAACAGTTTCTTCCTACAAAAACAAATCCCAGCATCCAGAGGCTGTAAGCTGTGGTGATATCGTGGAATATCCTGAAAAGCTTTAATTTTTGTTGGAAGTTATTTCTATCTTATATTCCATCAAATTAGTCACTAAAGTTGTTGGTTTTTTTTGCCACATTTATCCTCCATCCATCTGAAACCCTTTCAAAACAATGCATTTAGTCTCTGAACACTGTCATAAAAGGCCCTCA